GAGAGAGAGAGAGAGAGAGAGTTGCTTCAGGCTAGATTCATTTATATTTTGAAGCCAGGGGTGGCACGAGGGGTCGGATCAACAATACTTCTTCAGGCTAGATTCATTTATATTTTGAAGCCAGGGGTGGCACGAGGGGTCGGATCAACAATACTTCTTCAGGCTAGATTCATTTATATTTGAAGCCAAGGGCGGCGCGAGGGGTCGGATCAGCAATACTTCTTGAGGCATGATTCGTTTATATTTTGAAGCCAGGGGGGGCGCGGGGTCAGATCAGCAATACTTCTTCAAGCTAGATTCGTTTACATTTTGAAGCCAGGGGCGGCGCGAGGGGTAGGATCAGCGATACTTCTTCAGGCTAGATTCGTTTATATTTTGAAGCTGGGGGCGGCGAGAGGGGTCAGATCAGCAATACTTCGTAGTGTTATTCTATGTTTCTCTGCTTGGCGATGCCAAGGAAATGCTTGCTGGAAAAATTGAAAGCACCCTGCTTTACTTCTGGTGGAGATTATGGAGAGGCGGTGCTCCTCCGAACATGAACCCACCTTTTGACGAGCAAGGTGTGGCTTGGTTGTCGCCAGCTGGGATGCTAGGGGTGGATACTCTTATCACCACACCTAGTAGCCTCACCAGGTGGGTTTCTTAAAAAAAAAAAAAAAAACAACCAACAACAACAAGAAGAAGGAAGGATTCCATAGCACCACCCTTCTGCCTCGTCCACTCATGGCCCCTGTGCACAGAAAATAAAGCAGGATTGAGGTACCTTATTAAACTACCATTTCGTCCCAGCCTCTGTTTTCCAATGTGCTGTGCTGCCCCACCGTAAAAGCAGAATCTTCGGGGGGCAAACTTGGCAGGTGTCCCCTGCATTTTCCCTCCAGTAGAGCTGAACCGCAAATTTGCAGCGCATTAATGGCCGTGTCATAACCAGGTACCGGGAAACGGACTGGTGGTTTAAACTTGAGAGGCCTTCAGCTGGACAATGGTGTGTAATCCGAATACAAGACTCAAACACACAACCGACGGCTCGGCAGGCAAACACCCCTAACCATAAGGCTAAGCGGGCTGAGGTGAAAGTGAAGCCCTAAGATGAGCACTTCACCCCACCCCAGCACGGAGATCCCGCGACACGATGTACCCAACCACACTCACCCCTACGCAGCCACACTGCACATAGCACAATCTCTACGGCGGTTACTGCGCGAAAGCACGTGTCATCCGAATACAAGACTCGAACACACAACCAACGGCTCGGCGAAAGCACGTGTAATCCGAATACAAGACTCGAACACACAACCAATGGCTGCCCCCTGGCAGCCTATGAATTTCCATGGTGCTCGACTGCTCTGCAAGACCTTTTTTTTTTTTTTTTTTTTTTTTTTTTTTTAATGACCACTGGATTCAGTTCTTGCACAGAGCATGAATCTGTTGTCTAGGTGTGTGGCCTTCCAGGAAAAAAGAACGTTTCCCACTACAAAAAGTGTCAAAAAAAAAAACAAACCTCGGGGTAATAGGACGTCAGTCTTTTGCAGGATAGGCCTTACCAGAAGGCCCTACTGGTCGACAAAACGCATAGCCCTAAACCTCTCTCTCTCTCTCTCTCTCTCTCTCTCTCTCTCTCTCTCTCTCTCTCTCTCTCTCTCTCTCTCTCTCTCTCTC